GGACGCGACGCCAAAAGTTGGCTCGCAATTTTAGTTGGGTTTAAATAAGATTTTAGAAGGGGAGATGATGTCTTAACCGAAGTCTGTGGTTACAAATATATCGTATAATCGATCAGGTACTTCACTACAGGTGGGATAACTGGAGCGAAGAGCGTTGAGGGCTGCTAAGGGCCGTAAGGCAACATGTAGCCGACAATAGTTCAGCTTTTGTCCCACACGTAGCAGCACCAAAATAAGCAAAAATTACTTTACTAATTAACTCTGAACAAGTGGTCTGATTTCAATCAGTAAACAACATAGTACTTGTATTTAATATAAATTTATGCTACTAAGCTTCTTTGAAACAAATTGAAAAAGAGTTTTTGAAATTTCTTTGAGAACAGTTTTGTGAATAATTTAAAATGTGGGCATTATTAGTGCGATGGCGAAGTGCTTTCCTGGAATCCAACCGGCCCGTTTAATTTTTTTTCAATTTTTTTCCTTCCATTCTTCTCCTCCCCTTGGGGGGTGTGGGCATATAGTGCGATGGCGAAGTGCTTCCTGAATCCAACGCCGTATCAATCGTCCAAATCGACTAAACAGGCACGTCGTAAAGTGAAAATTGGCAAAATACAATGCCCCCCTCCCCCATGCTGCGCCGACGCCGCCACCACCTCTCAACCTTCCTCTCTCGTAACACTTAGAATCGAAGACGAATGTCCTATTGAAATACTTATATTACATTCTACGTATTAATATTTTCCTTTGGTGGACAGTGTATGTCTTCCTTCACAAAACGCTACTGATTCCGAAAAGCGATGTATGTATATAGGTTTGACAATAATTTTTCACGGCGAAGGTTTGGAGGCCATAGAAGGGCAATGTTACATTACTTTGTTCAACAAAAAGAAGATACCACGAACATATTGGCAAACTCTCATCGGATACTAAGATGATTCTTTTCGACATAGAAAAATATTGAAATGCAAGGTAATATGCAATAATAGGTAAAATATGTAAAAGTATGCAACTATTTAAATAAGTAACAGAACTGTGTTCATTCATAATTTCTTGCAAACTGAAAAAATATTCAAACATTCAAAAAGCGCGCCTCTACGCATGATAACCTCAACATCGCTAGACTGAGCTACTTGTTCATCTCTCTGATCAGTGCGACCTGGTGCAGCCAATACAAGCTAGTTTCCAGAAAATGCATCGAAGGGGGCATTTCAAGTGACACCAAGAATTTAACTACATTTTAAATGCAAACTTCGAGAGCCAATTTTGACTCATTATTTTAAATATTCGTAAATTTTATTTTTTATTTCCTTTACGAAACACTATATAAAATAATTCACTAGCACAAACTTAATTCCTATTGAATAAAACTTTCGTTCAACACAATCCGCCATTTTAATCATGCGTGGTCATGTGACAGATGACGTTTAGGATCCTGCACAGATCGGGTGAAGTCCAGTGTGTGCATCGGAAAAGCTTCGTGTCGTGGTTGTTAAATCCGCATGCCATTTCAATTAAAGAGCTGACGAGTGTGCCAGCGTGGGAGGGGCGCCCGCTCGCCCGCTCGGCTGACGCATCACCTTCCGCTGCACGGGGGGAGCGTCGCGGTAGCCGTGCGAACCCGTCAGTGCCGGGTCGGGCCATGCAGGCCGGCGTCATGGCTAGCCGCAGCATCAACACCTTCGTGTTCCTCGACCTCGAGACAACCGGGCTGCCGTCGGAAGAGCACAACAAGACCAAGATCACAGAGCTGGCGTTGGTGGCAGCGTCCCGAGAGAACATAAACGCCACCCCCTACGGCATTCCGCGCGTCACTCACAAGCTCACGCTGTGCTGCAACCCCTTCCGTATGATTAACCCCACCGCTACGAACGTCACAGGTATTGACAGCAGAAGCATTGCTAAGGTTGTCACTCTCTTCCCTTTCCCTTTATTATTACTATTATCATCTGATCCTCCAAAAGCAAGAGTATTTATCACAGGGTTATTTTCCTTGTTTGTGCCTTTTCTCTCCCCGCGAAAGTCACGTTCGTTTTCGTACATGTGATATCATTAATTTTTTATACTTAGGGCATCTACATTTTTTTTATTAATTGAACATTTGAAACATTTGTGTATGTATGAATATATATAGACACACACATATATACGTTTTTCATTCAATGTTTTGATTTTTATTTCCATAAAAGTTTTTTAATTCAAAAAATTCATGTCCATCTGGAGATGAAGTAAACTTAATATTTCTGTCAATACTTCCTTACTGACCTTATCCTCCTCTCTTGCTCAATCCTGACCCACCACAACTGCGACATTGTTTATCTTTTTCAGTTTTCTTGCTCAAATTTATCATATTTACCACAATCATTGAGTACCAAGTTTAAATTCTAGTCAGCATTAATCTCACTATTCATTCCTTTAAGAATGAACTACCATAAAGTGATTTATATACTTTAAGATTTTACTGTTTCTATTTACTATATTTCTCTCATTCAGTTTTTCCCCACATTCAAACATTGTATTTAAAACATCGATTATCTCTTTTTAAGGTCTGTCAAATGAAATGTTAGAAAAGGAGAAAACATTTGATGCAGATGTCTGTGATATGATCAATTTGTTTTTAAGTCGGCAAATACCACCTGTATGCCTTGTTGCTCATAATGGAATTAAATTTGACTTTCCTATACTGCAGAGTGGAATCATGAATGCTGATAAGGTATTTAAAGTTAATTAAATTAGATATCTTTTTAACGTGATGTTTTTCATACACGCAATCAAAAGGTTAAATTTATTAAACCTTTATTTTTCAGATTTTGCCTGATGACACACTCTGTGTGGACTCATTACCAGCATTTAAAGAACTTTTTTCTCAGATTCCTCTGGATATGTTGCCTACTTACACACAAAAATTGAAAATGAAATCAGTTTTGAAAGGAAAAAACAATGATATTCAGAAAGACACCTGTAATGAAAATGGCACTGCCAGTACATTGGCTGAAGATAGAAGTTTTATGCAACAGATCAATGAAAGAACTCCAGAGCAAAATAAACAAATTAATGCTCCCCTCCCAGAGGTTCTGAATACAATTAAAGCTAAAAGGCAACTCTTTAGTGATGACGCTAATGAATCTTTGGCACAACTGAATTCATTTAAACTTAAAGATCTATACAAGTTTCTTTTTGGTAGAAATGCAATAAATTGCCATAGGGCTGAAAATGATGCCCTTACATTACTTGCATGTATTTCTATTTTGGGAGAATATTTTATGAAATGGTGTGACACTCATGCTGTTCCTTTTAATAATGTAAAAAAATTGAGGTGAATGCAGAAATTATTTCAGTTTTATCTATAATATGACCTAACAACAGAATAAGTGTCTCATTAACCATTTATTTACAGTATGTGAATGTAAAAAACATGAAAAAACATTTCATGGATTTCTAATGTCCATCTATCATTAATTCCTGTTCAGTATTTTGTCTTCTTGCATCTTTTACATACCCTTTCTCTTCTTCCATCTTGAGGAAGAACAAAACACATGAAGGCTCCAATCAGGCTTTTAGCTTGAAAGTGCTCAGAAAATATATTTAAATTAAATATGTAAAGAAAACACCTTCCAAGAAGTGTTGTTGGTAATTTTATATTCTTTACACTGTGATTGAATTATAGAATATGTAATTGTTCACCCAATTCAGTGAACAAAAAAATTGTTATTGTTGATTAGTATGAAATTTTATTTATTGGTTGGATACATTAATGTATTGTAACAAAATTATTATTTTTTCAGAGAAATATATTTATATTTGTTTTAGATTTGGTTTGGTTTAAGTATACACAAACCAATAAATTTATAAAACTGCATTTGATTTATCAATGATGAGGAATAAACAAAATTATACACTACACCCCAAAATGCAATGATGAATTTTACCTTAGCAGGAAGAAAGTTAAATACTGTATGTTGGAACTTTTGAAAGCAAAAGAATTCTATCCCCTGTCCAGAATATTAGTGTGAAGTACAAATTTACTTTTGAATTTTTTTTTCTCTCTTGAGAGATTCCCATCATATTGATTATGATAAAATTTAATACTTTATAGGTGGATATCAGATTTGACTTTCATTGTATTTAGGAACAGTATAGTGTGTGAGAATTAGAAGTACTGCTGTTATGTGAAGTGCGGCAAACCTGATTGAGGCAATGAGAAAGTGAAATTAGAAGCAGGGATGCACAGAAAAGGCAAGTGGTGCAGTGGATCCAATGTTTGTGTTTCAAACATGTTTCCCCCATTTATATATTGTTATTGTTATAAATATATTTTAAAATGAATTTTATTTCGACCACAGTTCTTTTTTTCCCCTTCATTTTTTTAATTGAAAAGAAATTTTGTACAAATTTTTCGGGTCCTGCATAACTGGGGGCCAGGGCAAGAACCTCAGCACGTTGCCAACTTCCTGCCTCTGGACACCCCCTGTCAGAAGCAATGATTTGTGCAACACTGCATCTCATTTTACTATTGGATTTTTTGTAAATTTACTTGTCCAGTTTGGATTTCAGTAATACATATACTCCTTAATGCTATGACCCAATCCCAGTTTTTTAATCTTGCACATGAATGATATTTAGAATAATTTAGCAATGAAATGTATAAAATTCTCAGAAAATCTGCATATTGTATGAACAGTTATAGGCCTACTCGACCCCTTTTTGCACCATTGAATGACTTTCTAACCGTTGGTATTTGTTTTCTCCTGTTGTAAAGACTGTGAAATTATTCAAACATTACAAAATGTTTGGAAATATCTGATTATTTTGAATAATTCAGAAACAGTATTTTTACTTAAATTTACATTTTGTATACATTTTATGAAATAAATTACAATTTTGTATCAATTTGTTTACTTTTTTCACTGAAAAGTTGCAAATAATCTGTTACAAAATGTAACCAAACTTGTTTATTGTAATATTTTAGAAATAACATATCAAAGAATCACAAAATAATGCTGAATTATTATGTAAAATGATTCCTTTATTGTAAATAAAGAAAGTATCAAATGCATGCTAGCACTTGCATCTGATAAAAGGGTGCTGGGAACTCAAAGTTGCCCTCCCTTGTTTTAAAAAGAATAATAACTAGGGCATTTTTATGGTTAAAAAAATTATAACTATTATTTGCATGTTATTGTTTTATCAAAAAATTCCTTCAAATTAATATGAAAATCCTATATCAAAAGTAAAATACATCTAAAGATAATTAGAATGTTAGTTTTATCTGAAAACTCATTGAGAAATTCCTTTTGTATCTCCTCTACTTATCCTCAATTACAAACAGTGCCAACTTATCAGAAAAAATCTTTAAAACTATTTTTAAATTATTTGAATCGTCCATCAAAGTTCACTCAATTATTAATTGTGGAAATCTCCTCACTTAGGCCCATGGTTCAACTTACAAGCCTATATTTCTCAGACAGACCCATCTCATAGTAGTTTCAATTTAAACAATGTCAGCTCTATCACTTATGTAAAAAATATGAAGTATACTTTTAAAGACATTTTCAAAAGCTTTAGTGGTCAAGAAGAATAAGCTCTCTTTGGTTGAGTACTTCATGTTCTTTTTGAAAGAAAACTCAAATCTACTCAATAGTTTCCGATCTTATCACATTTTCTTAAGTCTATCAAAGCTAGCCTACCTTATGCAGAGAGCAGCAAAAGAAAGAGCCATCACAGATTGAGCGTTGAAAGATGCATTTGTCTTCTCCGTGCTGCTGATGCAATAAATGAAAGAAGAAAAAAAAAAGACTTTAGAAAAGTAATTTCGTATGAATTTTACCTCATATACTTATTATTTTTATTTAATACCAGATTCTATGTCCTTTTAAAAGGATCTATTTAACAAATCAAACAAAAATAAACTGATCAAAAATTCAAAGACAATTTACCATACTTGTTGCTCAACAGAAGATAATTTTGAAATATCACATAAATAATGAGAAACTACTTTGTGTAGCATCATCTAGAAATTTAAATATGAATAAATAGTGGAGGGAACTCATTCAGGGACTTGAGGTGGGCTTCAATACTTTCACACCAAATGATACTAATTCAAAAACAGCTATTACTAATTTTCTATTCTAACAAAATTTGTTCTACATATCAATTGTTTATGTTATAAATATTAACAATAAGACTATAAATTGCAATACATTTTATATTCAGCATAAATGAAAAAATTCTTTAAAAGGAAACATCAAGTCAGATGGACCTGTAGTTGTCGTCCCTCGATTTCAGATCTTAAAATGAACTACTGAGAAGAAAGGTCAAGCATACTTTTGTGTAATTTCTGATAATTCAGAAGTGTAAATGAAGATAACTCGTGTGCCACTTGATTCAGTGCATTTGTTCTCTATTGTCACAAAAAGACTAAAGAAAATGTGAAGCTATTATCTTACAAGTATATTTTGGAACATTGACATAATTTTATTCAAAATCCTCAAAAAACGATAAAATTTGAAATAAATGTACATAAAATCATTTGATGTGTTAATATTAACAAATAGGTTGCATTAAGAAAAAGCATGAGAAAGTAAAAATCTCCACCTTCAATAATAAAGGTGTAGGCGAGGATTTAAAAACATTAAGACTTTTGTAATTTCCGAAACTTTAAAGATTCAAATGAAAATTGGACCTTTAATACATTTTTAAACATACTTATATATTTTAGGAGAGCATTTAAAGGAAAAAATTGTTACTTCTGAGAAAATTTTTGAAATGAAGAATAAACATAAAATAAAATACCCCCTCAAATTAAAAGATTTGTTTCTGACTCCCAGGGTCTACATGAACGTCAGAGCATATCTATTTGGATAAAATCTTTCTTACAATTTAGATGTTGGTGTTGTTTGCGCGTTTTAAGTGTCGCATCACTTTATTTGGTAAGATATATTTGGACCTGGTGAGCAGGGGCATTGTCCTAATGAAAAATGACAATTTTCTTTGACAATCCTGGTCTCTTCTCACGAATTATTTCATCACGTTGTCCCTGAAGACTTCCATGATTCCCCATTAATGTTCTTACCTTTTGCAAGTTAATCGCTGAAAAATATTCCTTCTATTCCTACACTTGAACTTGCACACCTTTCCAGTAAATGAAACGATCTTCGCCTTCTTTGGTGTACGACCACCAACTTCCAAACACTGCTTCCATTGCAGTTTTATTTCCGGTGTGTAATGATGAACCCACGTTTCATTCACAGTAACAAATTGACGCCAAAAATTGTTAAATTTTTTAAAGCTCTCCAAACTTGCCGTGAAAGTCGTTTTCTTCTTTGCTTTTGATCAGCAGTCAACTCGGCTCATTGGGGCACCCAACATCCACAAACGTTACTCATTCTCAATTCTTTCTGTAATATGAATCGGACACATTCTTCTGAGACGTCTAGGGCGTCAGCTACTTCATGGATCATTAATCGCCGATCTTCCAACTCCATATTGTGCACTTTTTCGAGATTTTCCTCTGTGGTTGTAGCTTGTGGATCATCTTCGAGAAGAACAATCACGTTTAAATTAAGCGGCTTATTTCTTGAGTGTTGGAAATGAAGACCTCGAATAAAATCTTACCAACATTTGATGATTTTTTGTTGGTTACTGTCCAAAACAAGTAATTTGATGACGGCACGGTATTCCGATTTCACCATTTGAACGAAACTCACATACCACGCGTATTTCAAAGCAGATATATAATAACTTGACACTTTACAAAAGTTATTGCGAAACTTGTATAAACATTACAGAAAAAAGTTCATTGATGTCTACGCCATTTCTGTTTGAGGCCAAGAACTTTTCACCTTGCCTCCGCATGTTCTTCGTAATTTTTGATTTATTTTACTATATTACTTTATTTATAGTGGTTTTAGTTGAACCTAAGAGAGCCCTTATAATTCAATTCCTGTGGCTTGTCTCCATCATCAACGTTGTTGTCCATCTCTATTAGCAATCGTCGCGGCCAGGGATATTTTCTCCTTCCAATTTCTGCCAACGCAGTTCTCGTATTCCGAAACATGCGATTGCCGCCCCCGCCGCCACTCATCTTCAAACCCGAATTGTGCGCCTCAAAAACTACCGAATTGTACCGCCAGATGTCGTAATGTCGATATGTAATACTCTCTGTCGTAATAGTTGGGCAACTTTTCTTGATGAATTGAAGAAATGCTGGTAGAGTGGGGGTATTAGTTATGTAATCAGCAACTAGATTTTATGAAGTAATGCCAGTCTCTAAAGAATTAGTCATGCCTTTGCAACTTTCTCAATAATTTGCGTACTAACTTTTTCAGGGGTTTGAGGTATCTCCTGTAATGAATATTCGAAATGCTTCGGTCATTTCACGGATAGAAGTTCTCGTCTCCAAAAGAAAATTGTTTCTATTTCGCGCCAGTGAAGATGTGTTTGGAATGTTGTCGTCAGTGATCGCTGCGAGCTTTTTCCTTCATCTGTTTCTTTTGCCAGAGAGGGGGAAGCAAGTTCATCGTTCAAGAAAAGTTGTGCGAGTAACAGAATTACCAAGAAAGAGAGAGGGCGAGTAATACCAATTACACCGTGACACGTTGTTTTGGGCTGCATATTCTTAAATCGTAAATATGCATTACAAAAAGTCTCTATCTTATTACAGTTGCTCAAACTTTACGCTACTGTTTTGGGATCCTAAGAAATCATATTACGTAGATATTCGATGTATTGCTAATCTCTACACACCGAAAGATTCCCCACTACCCCCCTAACTGAACTCTAATTTAAATACATTGGCACTTTAAAGTCACACCAGGTGATGCGGATAGTCATCAAGTCGAGAGCTCCAATAGCAAACATTTTAGTAGCAACAAAGCTCCCGATTGCATGACAATTTCCCATCTCCAACTGCTCGATATCTTGGAAATGGCGCAAATATATATTACAAGTGTTCAAACTTCCAAGAAAATAAACATTGTTAGAAAATAATAATAATAATAATTATTATTATTATTATTATTATTATTATTATTATTATTATTATTATTATTATTATATTTATTTTTATGTCACATAAATACTGCACAAGCCCTGTAAAACAAGTCAGGATATGTACATAATCATATAATGGACAACAATTTTTAGCGTTTTAAGCTCACCTTGAAAATTGTATTATTTTATCACTAAATACTTATACTTAAAACTATTATTTAAAATATATTTCCAAAGCATTTTCTGGCTTAAAAAATTGTAATTTTTGTAATTTGTTGAAATAAACCAACTCGTACAGTTTCTTGTTACATCTTGCATACTTTTAATTTTTTTCCAGAAGGGGAGGCCATGTTTCATCATTGCCCCGGACCCAAAATTGTCTAGCTCTGACACTGGTGGCATTTCTTCCACTTATGGCACACTTCAATTTTCTTTTCTGTTTGGTCTCTCTGACCCCTTGTGTTTTTGATACTGACACTATTAGGTTTCAAGGCCTAAGGAGTCATTCCTTTTCTGATCTTCCCATTTTCTCCTACTATTACTCAATTTACTTATCTCTTGCTATCCTTTGTTTCATCTTTTTTTTCTTAGGTGAATACACTATTCTGTCTGCCAATGGCCTCAAAATTGGAGGGCAGATGAGCGGACAGTGGTTTTGGGTTGGATCATTCACCTTGGGAATTAAACTCCCTAAAGAGTGGTCCAAGGGGAGGCCTCATAGACATAGAGGAGGCAATCCCACTAGGGGGGAAAAACCTGAAAGTAAATCCTGTCCCTCCAAATTGCGGGACAGGACATCCCTACTCCTAGAAAAACACTTCTCTGCTTCTGAACCTAGCAATATAACAAGTCTGACACACGTAGATGATGACTTACCAATAGAAAACGGACAGTGAATATTGCTTCATGAAATATTCAAGAATTGCGAACTAAAAGGATCGAAGTCTTGTAAGAAACGAAAAGATTAGATATGGATATTGTCACTCTTACTGAAGAAAAGAAAAAGGTACCGAAAATTTAGAAGTTATAGCGGAGTAAATATAATTAAAAGAGTTAAAGCAGAGGTTTCTTTTTCTTGAAAAGTAAATTGGCAAGAAATATCAGAGGCTAAATGAATGAATTATTAAAGTAGAGCTTATACTGAAAAGATATAATATTGTAGTCAGTGGTGCATATGCATGCTCCATCAAATGATGAGACCATTGTTATTAAGAATGAACTTGAATTAGTAGGTCAAATTTTGAACATCAGTAGCCGAAAGGAAATAATCTTGCTGGAGAAATTTAATGCTAGAGTTGAAAAATACGTGAAACAACTGTAGAACCTTATGGAGAAAATCATGTAAATAATGAGGAAAGAATAATTGACATCTGCCAACTTTTTTCCTTGAAAATTCAGAATGGATTCTATCAACATAAAAGTATCTATAAATTTGCTTGTATGTATGTATGTGCGATGTATGTAAGTGTGTGTGTGTGTGTGTGTGTGTGTATATATGTGTATATAACAAAATGAAAGCAGTAGCCCGAATGGCTTAATAGAAACAATGAGAAGATTTGGGCCTTAATTCACTATTAGGTTAAAAATTAATAAAACAGCACACAAAACTCTCCAAACAATCAGCCATTTTATTGATGATAACAATTCAGATAGCAAAATTCATTTCCCTGCTCCACTATTAATGGTTCAGCAGGTCTAGACATGATCTACTAAGTGCAGACAAGGACAACATTAGACAATATTTGAGAAAGAGGCATTCATGTGTGCCAGGAACAGAGACTTTGTTCTTAAAATATTCTCTTTGATTGAAGTGTGATCATCAGTATCAGTTCTACACAAACATATCTGTCAGTATTAATGAAACCTGAAGGCATAAATGGGTAGTCAAACTGCTGCTACATATAAAATGTATGATCTTATGGTGACTGCCTCCTCTCTCGATCAAAGTCCAATAAAATGCATCTTTCTCGTGAATTACAGTAATAATATTGTTACATAACATCTATACAAAGGAATTTTAATTTACATAGACCAATCACAAAATACATATAAATATGATATATATTTATTTTGCAACAATAGCAGTAATGGTAATAAATTATAAATAATAATGCTACCTGACTAGTACCAATGTTCATCACAAATCATAACAACCTTCTAATTCTGGTAGAAAATTAATACCCACAGAAAGCAAAGGGAAAGTTAATATACCTTCTGATATTCCCCTTGTGTGCTCACTGCAACATCATATTTAGCCATAAACTTCTTCCTTTACTCTACAGTTAGTTTGGATACTTCTTTTACAGTGTAGGCACACCCTTGCAATGAAAAATAAATGCCCAAAAAGTCAAACATATCATACATTCTAAGCCAATATTATTAGCCTACTGCCTAATTAGCTGACAGATAATCAACAATATATTTGATTAAATGTACAATGGTGAACATTACACAGGCAGGCTTTGCAGTGTACTCACAAACAAAGTCTTCACTGCCTCATAAAGAACTCAGGTACATATTTTAGACTTTAATTAACATGAAGTAGATATTACAAAAATTGTTCACAATGATCAAACAATGACAATAACTATCACAAATGACAACAATGTAATGTCAGTTCATACAGACACATACAAAATCAAACACATGGGTATTCACAAAAGGAATATTTTTTGTTTTTTTTGTTTTTGTTAAAAACCCATCAAGCCAGTACACGACCAAAACATGTAGCATTCAATTAAAAACATCTTATAAAAAGCCATTATTGAAAAGTTTTCTATGAAAAAGTACATTTTAAACACAATACCACATTCAAAAAAAGAATATTAGATGCAAAATTTCATGAATTTCAACTAATAAATGTTTACACTGATTGTCACAACAACTAAAAAATAAATGTAATTATTGTCTTGGAAAACCACTCTAGTACAGACTTCAAAATTCCTGATAATTTTTACATACTCTAGAAGAATAAGACTGTATGCAAAAAAGGTAATAATGAACAGCATAGCAATGAGAAAATATGTATTTCCACTGCAATACAATATAGAGAAAACATTTTAAAAAAACTAATGTTTTGTCCACAAAATACTGGCTTAATTACTTTTTGATTTGTGCAGTGCAAGTATACCAAGTAATTGTTTCACACAAAATGCTACTCTGAGATGCTACTGATGAAGATAATAAAATTTAATTTTAAATTTCATTTTAATAAATTGTGAGTAACTTTTGCCTTTGATGATAGGCATGTTACTTTTATTGACAATGATAGTTACTATTTTTAGATCTAATACTCAATTGCCAAGTCATTATCCTATGAATTGTGAAGGATCATATCTCATGCATTAGAGAGATGATTCAAAATGAAGTTCAGAAAGTGATTGACAAATTGTTCCCTACTTAAAACATGTTACTCTGATTCACAATCTGAAGAATATCTGTTCATGCTATACCCCTCAATAGAACAAGACATTGCACAGTGATTAACTGGTGACCACACAGTCACTGATTGTTATCAACTTAACATTTCTATCATTCTAACTGCAGTTGCAGAAAAGTGCACAAAGCTAAACAGAGACCCTTCCCAACAACATAATTAACATGGACGCAACACAAATGATGATTTGGTCTACTTGTATAAATTGTTTCAAGGCAAGCATTGGTTGGCCGGATTGCACAACAAAAGTGTGCACAGCAACAGTGAACAATACAATAATTTGCAGTCAAATTTCAATAAATGAATAGCAATGCAACCCTAGGCAACAAAACCTCTGCATTAAAAGTTTTGAGCAGTTCTGTTCAATGAGTGAATTTTTTTACTAAAAGTGATCGTTTGATTCTAAGGCACTTTTGCACTATCTAAATGCTATACAATAATAAAGAATTATATCAGTGCCAAGACAAAGTAGCTCAAAAATTGTAATATAATTTTATAATTTACGATTTCTCTCTTTTGACTATTCATTCTACTTTCTCCTGCAAATAGAATAGTGCAAAATAAGCCTGCAATATACAACCTACGAGGTGCACCTTTATGAAAAATACCAGGTAATCATTCATGATCTTGGAAAAACAATACCAAAGAGCTGGCTTTAACTGTGAAGGCATTAATTCTTCTTTTCTAAATTCATTATTTTACCTTAGGGTGCACTGCAGAGTAGCTAAGTCATTGAAACAGCTCCTTTCATTCTATGAGTGACAGTGCTATCCCCTAGTCTACAGACTACTCTGAGCAGCACTTACTGTGTGACTGCTGGTTTCCGTGATCCTGAGAGGCATAACAAGCTAAGCAGTAAATTTAAAAATTCCTACATTCAGTCAGATTCCATCAGGAACAATTCCTTTTCATGTGTTTTAGTTTTGTACAAATGCAAGGCAGTTGAGATGTACACAAGTGTGCAAGATTTCTCACACGTCTGTCTGCTAATGCAGTGAATAGCATCAAGCATTCTTTTTAACAATTTTACTGGCCAAGCAAGACATTTAGTTTGAGCCACATAATAATGTGAATATAAAACAGTAAAATAAAATAATAATTTAAATTTAAAAAATTAAAATCATATTTCATATGTTGATGGAGAATAACTACCTCCTTCAGACTTGACATATACTATGAATGTTTAGAGAGACATTCATCTTAACATAAAATTGACTCATATTTGTAATATAAACATCTATAAACTCTACCTCTCTTCTTTGACAAAATCGTCTTCAGTTCATTTGAAGTAAGCCCACAAGATTTCATACACACACAATAGATTTGAACCAACAAAATCAAACACAATGAACCAAACTGTTCACCACAAATAAAAACCTTTCTATTAAATATTCACTTTTCCTGCTTGTCTTAATCCATCAGCAAATTTCATTGCTTCTATCTCATTCCAAAACTACACCATTAACATCTTGTGGAAGACAACTTCTACTTACATGAAATGTTCTTCCTCCTTAACCATTATTCAAACATTTTAATCTCTTCATAGTACTACCTACATACGAAGAGAGGCAGGATGCAGCTTAAATGTTCCTGCTTTTTGTTAAAATCTCTATTACATGCTGTGTTTCATTCTATCAAAAAATCTGCATGAGGACAACATTTACAATACACTGTTCATTCAATGCCAAATGTGTTAGTTTCCTCCACAGCTAACAATAGTTTTTCATAGAGTATTTCTGGAGTTGGATAAGGAGGCAAGTCCAAGCGATTGAAACAGGTGTGTGCCCTGGGAACAAAAGTGCAAAAATTTGTGATTAATGCAATACATTACAATAATTCAGCAGAAATCTCAAATATAGAGAATGTTTCAAAGAGTGTAGTGAGGCTTTCAAAATTACTTTCTAAATGTAAATACTTAATCCACTTAACTTTGATAAATCATAATATCAAATCTCTCCTTAATAGGTAACAACATAAAAATCAATCTTTATTAAAATATATTTGGATGATTATTGACACATTATCCTCAACCATTTAAATCGGCGAAGTGAAAATGTTCAAATATGACACTAATTTTGCAAATAATGTGATTAACATCTCTTACATATACTTGAATTTTCTAAATTTTACGCAAATTAAAATTGGCTCTAAGTAATACACCAAAAAATGCTACATAGAACATTTCAACTTCTAAATAGAGTTTTCATCTGGTACATGGCATTGGATTTTTAATAACAACAATTCAGTAAGCTACTCTTCAATGTGAATAAATAAATCACATATCTGATATATTGATGTGGAAAGAACTCCAATACAGAATTGACACATTGTGTACCATAATTTGTCTTTATCACACAGAGTCTAATTTGGTCGATTTCATAATATTTTGAGAACAATTGTTGGAGATGACATAAGAGAGGAGAGGGGAGTGTTGTGTGCAATTTGGAGAGAGAGGTTTATTTCTTTGAAGTATCCTAAACAAGACAACAAGCGTAACAGACATCTGTCAAGAGAGAAAATGTAGCCTAATTGCCATCCCCTATTCATTGCAGTGAAGCCACTTTTCCTCTCATGGCAGAATGCAGTTGGGCCATTCTTGCGCTTGTTGCCTCATACATAATTTGTGTTAGAAGATGTGGAAGGAGTAAAAAAATATATAATAAAAAAATAAAAGAAGAGGAGAAGGAATAATAATAATATTATTATAATTTATTTTACTATGTTGTTATGTATTGTAGTGAATCACCTGACACCACTGATATACAAAGTATTCAATTAACCTAAGGCTTTCTAATATTATAGGAAAAAGATTTTACCCCCTTTCATACATTTAGATAAAAGTAACAATACCATTGTATCACACAAAATAATGTTTTTATATATGAGAAAATTATTTTATTTTTTTAACAAAATGAACATCACAATCTTTAAAGAACAAAAAATATTAAATATTTACCTTGGAAGGCTGTTAGGTTTGCCCCATTTCTCCACACAAAATTTGCGAGGTCCAGTACTTCCTCGAAGTGCAGAAAATCCTTCATACGGAATGCTAGATGTCCCAGTCACAAATTGAAGTAACCTAAGTCTCTGCTCATTTGTAAAACGTTCAATAGCTGCCCAAAACCACTGCATAACTGGATGGTTATCATGATAACCTAAACAAAAGGTTTTCAGTTACAGTATAAAAACTGGGTTGAAAATAGATCAAGTTAAAACAAGAAAGGCGAATACAGTAAAAATATAAGATATAAGAATATCATTCAAATAAGAAGACACAATCAACAAGCATAATTACGTTTACTCAGAATATGAAAAACTGAAAAGTTAAAGATACAATGAAATTTTTTGCAGTTTCTTTGCATTCCAAGTAAAAGTCTAATATTGAACAGTTAAAGCAGAAAAGTCTAATAAAGATGCAAGTAAAATTTTATGGGAAAAGACCAATATAAAAGTAATGAAATTAAAAATGTATAATAAACAAGAGAGAGGTGTAGAACCATTGGTCAAAAACTAGAAAAAACATGATTTTATTATCAGTTAAAATAATTTAGTTCACTGTATAATCATTATATTCCATATTTTAGTAATGAAATATAACTGGAATTATTGTAATTACATATCCCAATTAGAAAATACATTACTTGGCTTCAATAATTATACAAAATCAAAACAATATTACAATTAATCAAACTAGAAAATGATTTCCCAATATTTTAATTGAATATCTTGATTGTCTAAAATAATTGGAAGCAAAAATTACGTATTCATAAAATGAAACACCAATCAATAAACAAAAAACAAAGGTCCTAATTACTAGAGAAAAGAAAAGATTTCAAACCTGCACCCAGACAGTTTTCATTTTATTTTCAAAGAATGGAATAAATCTGATAATTCCAAAGTGAGATTTTTAATTCATTTTACTCAATAAGCTTACTAACTAAAATGTATTGTAACTTAATTTGTTACTACTCTGAAAAGTTATTTTCTCTCAAGTATTGATACTTGTACACAAAAAGAGATAAACAGAATAGTTACCTGATCGATATTCTGTATTTTTGCGCCAGTCAATCAGGTCAATTTCTGCTGTTCCAGCTATTACCAATTCCAATTCTCTTGCATCAAAAACAGATACTAGTCTTGGATCTACCACTTCATAGAAGCCTCGCACTAAAGATTCAGTCTGTTCTGCAACTCCCCTTTCCAATCTCCATCGAACAACCCGTTCAAGATATTCCTAATTTTTAAATAAAATAATAATTTCATTATAATAAATTAAAAGTATCAATTGTAAATTATTTTAAAGACAGAAAATTAATTCCAACTCTAAAGTTGTTTGATATATAAATAAATATTTTTTTACCTTCTTATTTTTTTCTGTAACACTTATGTTACGACCACCAGGTTTCAGTTCCCGTTCAACTACTTGGCCAAACACTTCTTCAGTGACCGCAAAAGTGAGATCTAGTAAATCACCCGTGATGTCATTTTCTTTTATCCACAATAAACTTTGATGAAATTCACTATCAAGGGATTCTAGGTCACTCAAAGACACAGGTCTACAAGAAAAATGACAGTCATTTAGAATCACATGAAAAATATCATTACTAGTATCATGACACAAAAAATAACATACTCTTATATATCTTGTGACATAAAATAACATCCTCTTGACTTTTGTATCACTTTATTTATATCACTTCATTTACACAGGTGTGAATGATATTTTTCAAATTCAAAATTGTATACATTTCTATTTTATACTATTTATAAAATTCTAAATATAAAATGTATAGTATTTTCCTAGAGATGTGTTTACACTAAAAACAAATATATAAGTAAGTCTCCAATATCAGATTTAACATTATAACACTTACAGTCTGAGAAGTGCTTTGTAGAAAGGTCTTGTGAAGAAAGCATCCAACAAATACTGGTGCACCAAAGCTAAACCCAAGACACGACCACTGAACCTGAACCTAGAAATGCAGATTAAGAGTAGTCAATATTTAGAATTGGAAAAAAAGGGATGAATATGCAAAATTAATGAACAGGGAATAATTGCTTACCATTCATGGTGATTATCCACAAAGGCTGACATAGGAGACACTTGAACAGTGTATGTGTCATTAGCAGAGTACTCAAACAGTCCATAATAAGGGTTGAACAGTTCACGAGACAGAAGGAAAAAGAATTCTCGAGAGGGTCCTCCATAATCTAGCCCTTCTTCACGATCAAAGGTAACATACAACTTACACTTCTGTAAATCTTTCTTAGAAGCTGCCATAATTTTATTAAAGGCATCTTCTAGCAAATGTTCACGGCGAATATGTAACCTAAGGAATGAAAAGAAATTCATTATTGTATAAACATTACATAAAGTTAGTACTTAAAGAATAAATAAAACAATTAATCATTGATAAAGAAATATACTGATATAAAAGTAATTATCCTCTATGATTATTGTAGAGTTTGTAAAGGGTAGATTTGTTTCAAATTATACTTCAAGCTAGTGAAAAATAAAATTTGAATGAAACCTTACAGAATCCGGAAAACATTCTAATATTTATTTGTCTGTGTGTTTCAAGATTTATTTTCACTGATTTATAATGTGAATTGAATTGAAGTATAAGGATCTTTTGTTGACACAATTGATTCCTTTTAATAAAATATGCTTGCACTTAAATGAGAATATTTTGAATAAACCCAAAAGCACATTTAACATTTTGGATCACTTCATTCCTTTTAATCTTTAATCATAGATGAGAAATATGCAAGAAAACCATAAAATTGTAATTTTTGGAATAGGAGACCACTAAATGAAGCAAGTGATTTTCTGAGAGCAGTTCAATTACGACAAATGAAGAATCTAGCAGATATAGAAAGATACTTTTATGATGACAAATTCATTATAAGGATTATCTCTGATTTTGGTCCTTTATGATCAGCCTTAACCATCAACTTAGAACTATCAATTTTATTGTAATTTTATCAATATATTTTTACAATGATCCTAGATGTTACCATCATCGTCATCATCACCATCATCCACGGTGGCCACTCTCTCCCTCAAACAAATTTCCCTGAATTTTCTGTTTGTCCAGTGAGTTTAAAAACAATATCTGATGATAAAATTTGTAATTTCAAACTAATTAAAGAAAATATTAAAGCTTTTGATACCTTTTGTTCAGCTGGCTGGTTTTACTATCACAAAGTATAATTAAGCAACACTTTCTCACTAGATAAAAATTGAGCAAAAAATAAAATAAATACTAATAAAAAACTTAAATACTAATGTTTTTAAATAATAATAAGTATCTTTTATGACCCTCTTAAAATTTACCCTGACTTTTTGAGATTCTTCTACAAATTTCTTGATTTTTCCAGAGCAATGAAATTCCCTATTTTTTTCGATTTTCCGTGTTTTCCAGAAAGTGCCCACTCTGTCGTCATCTCCACCACTGCTACCACCACATAGTTCGGTATGGGATGCGGGTAGGCGGGGCATACGTACTTGAGTTTGCCGGGCCCTTGCCCGTAGCCCTTGGACTCGAGCTTGCGGTAGAAGTTGCGCAGCTTGGCCTCGAAGTCACGGCGGTAGGGGGCGGGCGCGCGCGCGTTGGCCCGCGACAGCCCCGGAGACGCCTGCGGCGACAGCTGCGGCGAGCCGCGCGGCGAGCGGGCCGTCGCCGGCACGGCGGGCACATAGCTCATGATCTCTTGCTCGAACAGGCTGCGACACAGGACACAAACGCTCGTTACCGACAAGCAGACAGGAGAAACTAGCGCATGCGACACGGACATAAACGACAGCGATCGCGACACATCACTGGCCCCCGCACACAGCAAACAGCAATCACGCTGGTTGCTGTCAAACCCTCAGATACCCCCGTCATCGTCTTAGTACCTTCGTTGAAGAACACTTTTGTAGCTTGCGTTAAATTCCATTTCACCCTTCTGATGAGCGTAAACACACGTTTGGCCCGATACATTTGGGAGTCTTCGACACCAGACATTCCGGCATCGATTGAGATGGAAGTCGTTCTACAACTTTATTTAGTCTTCCAGCAAAAGGTAATGCCAATCCACCTTCCTATAAGTGAAGTAATAGCTAAAAAGTTCCGTCTAGCCAATTTTGGAGTTTGCTCAACAGCAGACACCATCAACGAAAACCCACGAAAAAGAACACAAGGAAAGGAAAGAACGTGGAAAACTGTAGTAAATATACTAAAGAAAAATATCTTACTAGCAACCCATCAGATGGTACTACATGGCGTAACAGATTTAAATGAGCGAAAGCAGGTAAAATATCAGGCCCAACATGCACGCACGCACACACACGCGCGCGCGCGCGCGCACTTCTATGTAGAAAAAATATATGCGCAGTTCTTTACACGGACTCTTAGGTGACCAATCACCTGAACCATTCGGGCGGCGCAAAACACTTGCTACGATACACATCACACGGATCAACACGCATCATGACGGCGGCCGGCGCCAACCGCACTGACAGCGTGTGTGGCCAACTCACATCATGAGCAGGCAGTCGAGGTAGTCGGTGAAGAGGCCCATGGTGGCTTTGAAGCCCGCGCGCTGGCGCTGGCACCGGGCGGGCGAGGGCGTGGGCGGGGGCGCGGGCGGATCAAAGCGGGCGGGCGGCCCGGCAGGCGGCGTGGCGGCATGGCACGCGGAGGGACAGCGTGGGCGGAGTCGAGCCGCGTGGGGGCGGCATGGCTGCGGCGAGGAGCGCTCCTCATAAGCGGGCCCTCGCGGTTCCGGGCGCGCGCGGACTGTGGCTGGGCTTCGCTCGCCTCGTGCTGCCCCGCGCCGCGCCGCGCCGCGCCGCGCCGCCCGGCCGCAAGGGTGGGGGCGGAGGGCGGGTCCAAGGGGCTGCTCCCGCGAAGCGCTGCGCGGGGCAGGTACCTCCGGCGGCGGCGGCGACAACGTGCCCCCCTCCCGGACGCTCGCCCCCCTCTTCCTTCCCGTCCGGCGCGGGGCGGGGAGGCGAGACGAGGCGAGACGAGGCGCGACGACGCGCGACGCCAACGATAAGTGTGCATTAGCATTCGCGGCCAGCTGGTCCGGAAGGCGCGCAGGGACTTCTCTGCTCTGCGGGGTGCTCTCGGCGGCGACCAGTAAACCCATCGCGATTCCTCGACTTATCAGCTTCGACAGTGAAGAATGGGTGACAACCCTATTTTTTACAACCAACAATTTTTATTCGACTTCTTAATACGAAACGGACTACAGAAACGGAAGCCAGAAGTAATAATAATATTGTCCACTGTCAGTCATAGGAGCAAATGCTTTCACGTCTGCAATCGTGCTGTTCGAATATCGATATCTTTCACCTTCTCTCATGAGGATGTCATGAAGGAGATGACTATAGAAATAATTGAATAAATCTGGAGCACATTCACGAGAAAAGAAGACATTTGGAATATTTCATCACTCGGTATAGTACTACAATTTTCCAGAAATCTGTTAATTTTCTACTAGTTTTACATGTTTGTTTCCGGGGAAGTTCACGAAAAAGGAAAGTGCAACACAAAATAAAATGAAATAGAATGGATAGAAACTAATTTTACGAAAATTTATTAACTTGCAATGCAGATTATATGACAATTTCCGCCACTGAGAATCTATGACGGCCTTTCAATTGTATCACTAGACTATAAAATACAATTCAATCACTTTGTGATGCATCATGTACAAGTAAATAATATATTTAAATGAGATGATTAATAATCTTCCGAGTTTAGAGTTTGTAAACCGGTTTATGCGTTTTGATATCACGCTGTTCTTGTTTGTATCATAATAAAAGACGCTTTTTAGGCGAAAAGGGAAAGTAAAAAGCTGATTCATTCACTTAACTGAACGTAAGGGCGTAACACTGGACTACAATATTAACAAAAATGAACATTATGTCATTTTCACCGATCTTTGTTCAGTGGTAATACTTTAACGCTAAATGAAGAGTAAAATATAAAGCACAAACAGGACCGATCAATACACGCTTAATGATGTGCAAAAACATGTCTAATTAGGGGGACGGGAGAAATTTGGAACAGGCCATTAATAATACACGTTGCAGCATGTAAATATTACACCATTAACTGCTATACTTTTGAAGTATAGTTGAGTAACTTTTTTTTTTCTTCTCTCTGGAAGTTGTTAGCAAAAATACACTTCCGGACAAAAGAAGGCAGCGCACGCGTGCGGGGCGAGACGTGTTTCGCACTTAACCCAACTCGGCCCATCCACATCCCTTTTCCCCCATCCGCATTCGCCAACACGACACGGCATCTGCACGGTCGGCCGGGGCGATGCGGTGAGGCGTCTGGGGGCCAGCGGGTGGCGGTGGCCGGCGCGGCGCCGGACGCCGGCGGGGCGGGGCGGGCGCGGGCGGCGGGCGGGGGCGGGAAGGGGACGGGGTGGGGCCGTGCGGGGCGGGGGCGGGGCGGGGCGGGGCGGGCGGGAACAGGAGGAGGAAAAGCCTTTTCCCCCGCTCGCGCGCCTCCGCTTCCGCCCGCTTTCTTTCCTGCCCATCGCCCCGCCCGGCCCCCACCCCGGCCACGCGCGTTTTGCACTCGTATTGCCACGCCTATTGCACATGCGACGACGGGAAAATGCACAGCGATTCGCGCCTAAACATACTGGAATATTATTGTCAGTAACCGTAACCGTGACCATGTAATAGTCATGCTCACTCTTCGACATTCCATTCCACAGCAATCGCAAACGCTAACAATAAATGCATTTAGTATTCGCATCAACCCTGGCATTAACACAATCCTTATTTCTTTCCCACACGTCTCATACACTTTTTACTGTTTTTGATGATGAATCAATCAAATTAAAAACGGTAAGTTCAATGTTTTAGAAAACTCACTTGCACAGAGAATGTCAAGACAATTTTATTACTCTTTCCATTGCATTTTAGTGCTGTGATGTTACTGACAGAGGGGCATAAAGTCTTCATAACGCATTCGACAGCATTCGCAGGAGTCCTGCTGTCCCGTCCTTTGACTCAACAGCCCGCTACGGGCCTTGGCCGACCAGCGGCGGTCCAGCCTCTTTCTCCAAGGGATAAGCGGTTCGTGTGGTTAACAAGAAGAGATCCCTCCACCGTATATACTGGTCTTCATAACTTTAGGGTGGGCTTTCACATCGTCACACAGCAACAGGACTAAGGAAAGCGCACAGTTATAATTCTGCCCCGGCCGGGAATCGAACCCGGAGTTGCCCCGGCGAGCACTCTAACCATCGAGTCACCGCGAACAGGAGTTCTGCTAGATTAAAAGAAATAATAATGCAGATGGAGACGTCATAAAATGATCGAATGCCGAATATAGAGAGAGCCGCAGATATGCAGGGATGCTCCGAGTGTGACTCGATCTCCAGCACCCAGGGGGGAAGGCGAGAGGACCAGCAGCTTAGAAGGCTGAGAGCATCACTTCGAGCCGGCCGGTCCTCGGCAGTGCAACACATTCAAATTCTTAGATTGGACGCCCTTTATTGTTTCCTCTAAAGTCCGACGCCCTGAGCTCTGGTGCGGTGGACGACGCGGCCGGCGGCGGCACCTGCTTGGGCCAGTGGCGGCCGAGCTCGCTGCAGCTCCTCGGCCGCGGCTGGCCGAGGCGACGAGAGTGCCTCGCCGCCTCTGGGCGAACAGTCCCGGGTTCCGTTCTCGGGGCAGCCGTGGTTGCTCCTCTGTACCCTAACATTCGTGAAGTGTCGCTTAGAGCCTCGCGTTGAGCTGACAACGGATTCAATTCGGACAAGGCATCACGACATTTTACGTGCAGCAGGAAAAATCCTAGTGTGTATAGAGTCTGGAGCGTCATCTACTTCCTAAGTCATTGCTCCCGCCAGTAAAGTAAATGAAGTATCATAGAAGGTGGCGGTGTACCTCCCTCCCAGGAAGCGGATATCTTGTGCCGACCTACATGTCAGATCGTGTGTTTTGATTGATTGATTGACCAGTGATTCCGGACGAATCAACTATTAAATTCATTAGCCCCGTAAGTGTAGTACATTTTTACCGCGGGAGATGGAGATCTTCCCCTGCTGGATGGTGAGATCCGGCACCGACCTAGCCATAGGCTTGCGAAGTTTTTCAAAACCAGGAATCTCCCACCAATGGGATATCGGCCCTGCCCGCACAAACTGTAAGTTCCCGGCTGGTTGCCCGTGTGTGGCAGTGTAGTGTGTAAGGGGTGTGGATAGGATGAGATAGGAAAACACGCACGGTTCTTGGCCCGTTTGTTAGGGCATTGCTCCTGCATTCGCCTGGTGTGAGATTGAGGTGAAGAGAAACCACGATATGCTATCGATGAGATCAACCGGCCGCTGAAATACTCCTTCAGACAGCGGCTGAATTCGACCTAGCTAAGTAGATAGTGTCGAATTTCCTGGCAACGTCGGAACCTAGGATCTCCATGTCATAGACAGTGCAGAGACATTAATTGATGACCTGAGCTACATTTGCCAATTCGGCTCGTGGGATTTTCCTTTCAGGTATCTTCCCCAGGACTGCATCCCCCATCCGAAATAAGCTACTGATTCCTGACTCGTGTGGTAGTGTGCCGTGTTTATAATAATTTGAAACCGCCAGATGAAGTAAGAATACTTTTTTGGCCGATCAGATATCCCTTCTTCGGTTTAATTTCCGCCAGAAGAACATTCTCTTATGCTAATTTTCATCCTTAGAATGAGATAGAACGAGAATAAAGATTGTTCAGAATGTAATAACGGATAAAAGAACAATGACTATAAGTTACACTTTTGCCCAAGTACATTTCTTGGTGCCATAACCACATACTGAATAATTACGTACCTGTCATTCACAAAATGTAAAGATTAGAATGACCATAATTCAAATATAAAATAATTTATAGTGTTTACTGCCTTGTAACTCCTTATTATGCAAAGACGCACAAGTAAATAACGTAAACACAAAATAAGATGACTAGCGTTTTTTAACGAATTAATTCATCCGTTCGGAAATAGAAGTAAATTCATTCGCATGGCATTTTCCAGCTGAAACATGTTTTGCTCATCACATAAAACGACCGCAAAGCGTTTTCTCAAAATACTCACTACATATCAGTTAGAATGCTATAGCAACATATGAATGTTCAATAGTAGTAAAGTAACTGAATTATTATGCATTGAAGTTCCCTCAATCTCACACGTATATTATATATTACCAAAATTCACCATACCACAACTGACAAATGAGTTATTGACAGTATATCATACATTAATGGAGCTACAGCTTTACGAACCGTGTCTCACGTGATAATCACCAAATGATCAATATTGTATCCAGATATACTTCAATGATTCCGCTGAAAGTTGTCATGTGCTTAACCTTTGCCAAAAGAGCTATTTCGCTCCAGCCTGTCGTCATCGCACTACGTCTTCCTTCTCCCTTCCTCGCGAAAAGGACAAGAGTGAAGGCACTTCGACGCCGGTTGTTGTTTGCCGTGCGGCGACGAGGCGGGGGAAGTCGTGGCGTTGGCGGGGGAGGGGGAACACTTCCATCCTCTGACGAGGCAGACGCGAAAGTAGCTTGCCCCCGGATTTAGCACTCCGAGAGGGACATTACAGGGAAAATTTGGGCCGCCCTTAAAGAACAGTCTCTTGGAAGCCAGAAACAAAAACTAATGGAGGGGGCAGCAGAAAACAAAAGAAACATGAATGAGAGATGAGAAGGACAGAAAGGGTAA